ATATACTGTTCTTCTTAAAAGTAATTTTAATTGTTTGATAACTTCATACAGATATATAGTATATTTTTGATAACACCCTCGATTCTCTTTTATTTCCTTCCTGTTCTGAAATGTCTCCTTTACTACTCTCATGGCTTTAAAAAACAAAAACAAAAACAAAAACAAAAACAACCCTACTCTGTTTAACTATGGTTGTTAGCACATGTGTAGTAGGTGCTGGTGTTTAGTGGATCCCAGGCAGCTTACCAGGGGCTACACTCCTGAAGACAAATGCCTCCCAACAGTTTCTCAGCTAGGGGTGGGGAGTCCTTTGTTTCTCCCCCACCTAGCTCTGTCTTAATTATTAACCCAATTCTATTAATCTATGTATTTCCACATGATCTTGGCTTACCAGAGAACACCTGATGCTTCCTCTCTTCCTGGGCGCTAAATAACAACTCTGTCTGCCTACATTTCCCAGAATTCTCATCTCCTAGCCCTGCCTATACTTCCTGCCTGGCCAATCAGCCAATCAGTGTTTTACTCATCAACCAATAAGAGAAACATATACGGAAGCACATCCCCCATCATAAGATGCCACTGCTGCTAATGTAGAGTCCATGAAGTTAAGCTTGTCTGTGATAATGTCATAAGCAGGGGGAGATGGTTTCTGCCAGCAGCCAGTCCAGTAGCCCAAGTTCCAGGCCAGAAGTACCAATTCACATCCCAGGTTCCAGTGAGAATCTCCTGCTGCCTCGTTCCCCTAGAAACAAGGAAAGACTGTGCTGAATAAACCTCTTTTCTCAAATGACCCTGCCTGTACTATCGATTTACAGCAACAGAAAACAAACTAGCGCTGTCACTCTCCCGCAGATGCTACAGCTCCTGCTTGTTTATATTTGTGCTACCTGGAGCTCACATTCTCTGGTAAGGCTGCCCAGGCCTGTGTTCAGTTTGCATAGCCTAGCTAACCTGCCTAACGGGAAGCTCAGGCCTCACTTCTGTCTTGTTCAGAAAGCAGTATCACCTAGGTAGACCTTGGAGTTGTGGTCAGATTCTAATTGTAAAAAAACCGTGTTTGTCCCCTGGCAGGTTTGCTTCAGCCCCGCCACCAGCAAGCAGGCAGATCTCCTCCTCTGAGCTTGTCCATCAGAATTTATACAATTCCCAGATGGGCTCACTATTGTGTCAGGTATCACAGCAGCTTGGGAGTTCATGAGTTAATGGCCATATTGTGTTCTGAAGCGGGCATTTTACAGCTCCTCCTAGATGTCTGAGCTTACATCATTTCTGTCTCCTCTGCCTCAGGGTGAGGGGTGATGCAGATGTCCTGTTTAGGGCTGAGCACTGGACACTGGTAAGTGCACAATGTTCTGTTCCCTCCTTCCAAATTCCATATGACAACATGACCACCTTCATTGTGAGGAATTGAAAGAGATTTGAAGTGAAAATCCTAACCTCACTTGGTCTCTACAATGGAATGATCAAAAAGGAGTCAATCAGTAAACTGCAGTATCTTCAAGGTGTTCCTCAAATCTGTCTGGAGCTCTTTGGAGTCAGAAGCCTATGTTTGCAGTTGTGTTGAACCCTGTACTATACAAATAAGTGATAATGAATGTCATCCTTGCTTCTTTGAAAAAGCTGTTATGAGGGTCAGTCCTCTTGTAAATGGCAAAGATAACATAAATGCCAATATATTAATATTAATTAATGGGACTAGAGATTGAACCAGGGTCTTGCCTGTACTAGGGAAACACTGTACCACTGAACTATATTCCCAGACCACTTTTCTTTTATTTGGAGCCAAGTCTCACTACATTGATCAGGTTGGTCTTGAAGTTGCAATTCTCTTCCCTCAGACACCTTCCCCAAGTAACCAGGATTATGGGCAGGCACAACCATATGAGACTCATGTTATGTCAGTCATCCCTTTCTTGCTGTCTACCCCAAGCCCAGAAACCACACTGTTTCATTTGAAAACCTGAAGGATGTTTCTCATAGCTATATTAAGATCTCCCAATTAATACTACATTGTGACCCTAGGTGTCTGGAGTCTGGTTTAAAATGGCAATCACTCTAGTTATGGTGTTACTGCATTTGTTGAGCTAGGACAAAGAAGAGCTTGAGAAGAACACATGTGATTCAGGACACTGACCTTCCCAGTGTGGTCACTGGGCTGTTTTCGTGTTTCTAGAATCACAGGTTCTTTGAATTGGAGGAGACTACAGAGTTGAGCTAGTCTTCATTTTCAGGCTTTTTAGAAACCCAGCCCATAACATATCTGACAAATACCATATTCTTTGGACACATCTAGAGTTGCATGAGCTCATCATCTCAGTAGCTCATTCCATTGTTTTATATTTCTGATTGTTGCAACAGTCTATCAACTTTTGAGCCCAAACTGTCAATCTACTCTTCACTCTCAACTCTGCTTACTTGTTTTTTAATTCAAAATACTAATTTTTATTTAGGTGTATGTGTCTGCATGTGGCTATATGCACATGAATGCAGGTGCCCTTGGAGAAGAGAGGTGTTGGATCCCCCTAGAGCTAGTTATAGGTGGTCATAAGTCACCCAACATGGGTTCGAGGAACTGAACTCAGGTCCTCTCCAAGAACAGTATTAGTAAGTGGTCTCTCTACCCAAAGGGAAGCTGTAGAAATAGGCACTCTTGATATGAATGCAGGGACCAAGCTTGTATCATTTAGAAGAGGCCAGAACCCTCCCTTGTTTTTACATTTAATAAATGTATGGGGAGAAAACAACATTCATTTTCTTTTGTCTTTCCCTCTTTTAGGCACCAACTCTTCCAATGACAACTGAGTATGACTGAAAGTATAAAGAAGGGGAAAGAAAGGAAGGCCTCCAGGCATGTGCAAGTGAGACACTTTGGGGAATCACCAAGAGCCAAGGTAGAGCATGGCTTGATTTGGATCTTTTGGTTTCCATAATTTATTAAGTGGCAGAAGACCACATTGGTGTTTATATGCAAGCATCTCAATTTGTTCTATTGATCAAAACATTGACTCACTTAGCAATAAAGAGGGGAAGTTTATTTATTTTTACATCCCAACTAAAGTTTACCCTGCCTCCTCTCTTCCCATTCCCTCATCTACCTCCCTCCACCAAGAGGAGAAGTTTTAATGGCCACCAAATGTCCCATTGCTGTAGTCTCAGTGAAGACCTCTCTGCCAATACATATATGTAACTATATATGCTATAGTTACTTTCATGTACCTGGTTTCATGTGCATCTCCCTAGAGCTATTGAGGAGACAAGGCTTACAGTGGAGGTGCAGAGCACATGGCTGGGTAGGCAAGAAAGAGCAGGAAATCCAGACACAGAGAGGAGTAAAGGATGGAAGACAAGTGTGAGGAGTATGGACAGGTGCCAGGATCTTCATGACGAGGAAGCAGGTGTGGGGTGCAGGGAGGCAGCTAGAGGAGAAAGGGTTTTTCACTTCAAGAGCTCCTTCAGAGGCAGGCAACGTATCTTCCCAGCAAAATGGTAAAAACAACCAGACCTGTGGATTGTGAAGAAAGGTTCCCACATGGAACCTGAACATTCAGCAAGAGGTAGGTTGTTATACTGGGTGTACTGCTCAGTACAATGGGGCTTTGTAGTAACGCACCAGATGGACAGTCATCTTCAGTACATCATGGAGGCTGCTTCTCTCATGTCCTCTGTGCCATTGCACTGCAGGTCTGCTGAGCCATTGGAGCCCCCTGATGCACAACAGCATTTGGGGAGTTGGTTCTCAGGCACTGGGCAACCTGGGCTTGTGGATGTGACCGTTGGCTTGTTAGCATCAAGAGGACCTGGTGCTTCTGCAGGGAGCCCGTTCTCAACAGATCTGACACACCACATTTGCTTTTTGATTTGCACACAGAAAATGAATCTCCTTCACTCTCCTTTCCCTCAGAGCCTCATCAATTAGAACTGCTTTGTTCTCTGCATCCTTTTGTTGAGCAGTTTGAGAATTAGTTAGCAGGGGAAAGAAAGAGAAGTTGTCTTTGTGGGCAGTGGCACTGGAGGGCTGGCTGCTAATGAAGGCTTCCTGAATGATGTGATTGTGCTGCTGTTTATATAGTTTTGATTTTAATTTGCATCTGTACCAGGCTCAGATCCCAAGAGTCATTCAGCCATATTTGGAGACAAATCTGCCAGCTCACTGGCCTGTAGGAAATGGAGGCAGGTCTCCCCTCCCTCCACTTTTATCATGTGCTGTTAATTGTTTATAGATCGAGGGAAGGAAGGAAGACTCCCAGAACCGGAGAAGGCTCTCCCCTCACGTGGCTGGATCACTTGATGGCTGGATCACGTGAGATGCAGCTTTCTGTTGAATAGTTTTCCAGAGAAAAGGGTCTGTGACTGAGGCTGTGGAGGGAGAAAGCCTCAAAGAGCCCAGATGAGTCTCCTGGAGGCAGAAGATAACCCTGCTATTTTACTTTCTCCTCTTAGGGATGCATATTCCCAAAACATGCCTGCAGACTTGGACTCATAACCAATCCTAGTCTACTGTTCTCTCTAGAAATTAATCTCATCTAGCACCTGAGGCCCCATAGAATGCCGATATTTGGTTCTTGCTGACTGTGGAGGCATTCTCAGTTTCCTGCCTAGTGTTTCCCAGCACTGTGAGCTGTTCCAGGATTCTTGCTCAGTCTAGGACTCCACCTGGAATGATCCCTCCTGCCTGTCCAGTGCCCATCTTCACATTTCTTCCTCTTGAATGCTCCAGCTCACATTGTCCTTAATATGTGCTCCTTAAAGTGGGATTCCACAAACAATCAGACACAGATTAATGAGCTAGTGCAATTTGTTTTGTTTTTCAAGACTGGGTCTCTCTGTGTAACAGCTTTGGATGTCCTGGAACTTGCTTTATAGACCAACCTGGCCTCGATTGAACACTTAGATCAACCTGCCTCTTCCTCCTGAGTGCTGGTGTGTGCTATCACCGACTGGTACAGCTAGTGCAATTCAATTCATGACGTATGCCACCATAGCCAAAGAAAGAAGCAAGATAACCAAGGAACAAAAACAAAGCTTTATTTTTTTTAAGCAAGGTCTAGAGGAAGAAAGTGATGGTGTCTGCTGCAAATGAGTTCAATACTGAAGGCTTGAACCTGAATTGCAGCTTGCAAAAGAACTGGTGCAAGAAGTATTGTCAGGCATGACACACATGGACTTTGCATCACACTGGCTGCTTAGATCCTCTGGTAAAGTCTCCTAAACAGACTGTGGCTGGTCATGGCAGGAGTGGGATTCTCCATCTAAGGAAGAAGCAAATGCAGCTTAATGGAGGACTAAAACAAAAAACAAACCCAAAACTCCAGGAGAGCAGGGAACAGAAAAATCTGAAGAAATAAGGGATTTTCTCTAGTGTGTTTTAAAGTTTGCAGCTTATGTGGTGGGAGATTAGATTCCTAATGTGTAATATAACTTACATAAGTATCTCAATGACATGAGTCCCAGGCCAGAAGCCACATTCAGGAACATAGGAAAATTGTAGAACTTGTATACTACTCTGGAACTACTGAGTCAAAGTGTGCATTTGAATAAAATTCCTGGTGAGTACAGTGAAGTTTGGGAAGCTATGTTCCAGATGATTGTCCCATTTGTCATCTGATCGCCTCCATCCACACACATCCCAGTGTGTGCCCTCACCTGGCTCTAGCTTCCCAGGTAAGTGTTAGCACTGCAGACAAGACACAGCCGCTGCGTCTCTCCTAGCTGACTAGACAGTTCACTGTGAGGACACAGTAAATACTTCGTTAATTTCATGCACATTTGCCCTTTACATTGCCTTCTTTGTTATTCCTTGCAAATATTTTGAAGCCTCTATGCTTGCTTACTCTGTCTTCATCTGAATTATTGATACAATAAGGGCAGAAATCTCCTGCTGTGTTCTTCTTGCTTCCATGTGGCTTTCCCCCCTGTGACATAGTGTTCCTCGGGACTTTTAGAGTCTCATTTGACCTTCTCTCACCATGTGGCCAGAAGTCTTGGAGTGCCTAGGCCTTTGCCTGCAGGGCTGCTCATTCATCTACCAGTTTTGTGCTGTCACATTACTCAGATCCTTGCCTCTACCTCCTCCTGGAGTCATGGTTTCCTTGGCAGAAGGGATCTGGAAAGGGTGACTGGTGATGCTTGGTGTGTGCTGCATCTCAGGGGAAGGAGCCTGTGGGCTCAAGGCCTCCAAGAGAGCTCCCAGAGAAGAACCTCCCAGCCTGCTCTAGAAGAGAAGAGGTTTTGTGTTTGATCTAGTTGGAGGAGCAGGATACGACACACAGGCTGAGGACATGGAGGTAGAGGGCGCATGTGCTGCTGCATGGCCTGTGTGTGTGCTAGAGGGGGGATCAACAGAGTTGCTGAAGTGTGCTGGGCTGGCAGGTCCTGGCTGCCAAGGCCTGCCGTGGGCCCCATTTACCAAGCTTCTGTGACCCTGTAAGGGAGGTAACATCTCATTGCACAGTGGGTGGAGACCCATCTGGGAAACTGAGTCTTCCTGTGCCAACAGTAGAGAGGGTAGTCTGACCTATTGGGGGCGGGCACTGTAGACAAGCAAGAAAGGAAAGAAAGGAAAGAATCTACCTAGAAGAAACAGCATCCCTGAGAGCCCCGGGGCTTCACTTCCACACCTCCCATCCATGAGTTATCTTTTTCTGCTCAGGCTGCTTTTGAACCCCGAGTCTGCAGCCCCTGTGTCCAATCCATTGTGTGGGGCATCCTCATTGCTCTTGTACTATGCTAGAGTACTGTTGTGATCTCCCTCTGTCCTGGTTCTGCAGGGTCACTATCTAGAGGATAATGTCCCCTCCTTTAGCATTGGATGTTTGATATTGCTAGTTTGATGTCAACTTGACATAAGCTAGAGTCATCAGAGAGAAAGGATCCTCAATTAAGAAAATGCCTCCATGGGATCCAGCTGTAGAGCGTTTTCTTGATTGTGGGTGGGGATATTCTTGGGTCCTGAGTTCTGTAAGAAAGCAGGCTGAGCAAGCCATGAGGAGCAAGCCTGTAAGCAGCACCCTCCATGGCCTCTGCATCAGCTCTTGCATCCAGGGCCCTGCCCTGTATTAGTTCCTACCCTTAGAGCTTTTGGTGATGAACTGTGTCTTAGTTCGGGTTTCTATTGCTGTGAAGAGACACCATGACCACAGAAACTCTTATAAAGAAAAAAAAAAACATTTAATTGGGCCTGGCTTACAGTTTTAGAGGTTTAGTCCATTGTCATCATGGTAGACATGGTGGCGTGTAGGCAGATGTGGTGCTGCAGAAGTAGTAGAGTGTCCTACATCTTGGCTTGCAGGCAACAGGAAGTGGTCTGAGGCACTGGATGATATCTTGAGGATAGGAGACCTCAAAGCCTACCCTCACAGTGAAACACTTCCTCCAACAAAGCCACACCTACTCCAATAAACCCACACCTCCTAATAGTGCCATTCCCTTTGGGAGCCATTTTCTTTCAAATCACCACAAACTGTTATATGGAACTGTGAGTAAACCCTTTTCTCCCCACATTGCTTTTTGTCATGGTGTTTCATCACACCAATAATCCCAGCTAGGACAGTATGTCATGCCCTTTATTTTGTGAGGCTTTAGTCAACCCCTCTGCAGCCTGTACTACCACCATTCCATCTCATACCTGCCCCCCTGCAGTTCTAGACTGGAACTTGCTTGCTGCAGGTACCTCCAGCTCTTAGAAAGCCCTTCCTCCACTGGCTCAGTAATTCTCACCCTCCAGTCCAGCACAAGTTATATCTCTGGGGAGTGTTTTCCAGCTCCCCAGACACTAAGTGCCTCTTCCTCTGCATCTCCAGAGCCCTTTGCCATTCTCTGACTTCTCTTGGGTTTCAGGGACTGTTTACACAGTGGCCCCTACTGCCAGTTGTTATGGCTGTGCCTAGCAAAGGCTGGACTCTTGGGACAGCAATGAAGGCCATATTCAGTGTTTTCCCTCTCTGGGTCCTTCACCTTTGTAGCCACAGTCCCTAGCTATGTACTAGGTCCAGGGTCCCAGTTGAGTGAATAAAATCATGTTGGCAAGCAGCTGGACACAGAAAAGTGGCGACATAGTATGTGCTGGGTATGATAGCTCATACCTATAACCCTGCACTTGGAAGGTTAAGGCAGGAGGATTACTCCAAATTCAAGGTGAGACTCAGTTTCCAGAAAATAGGAACTATTAATACAACATAAGCCACATTTTAGATTTTCAAGTAGCCACTTTTAAAGAGGTAAATACATGTTCATGTGGATTTATAGTGGTCTCAAATTGGAGAAAAAAATCACCATTGTTTCCTGGGCAGTCAGTATTCACAGAACCCTCAGGGCACAAGAATAGAAGGGAACTAGCTTCCCAGATCTCTGCTGCCGAGGCCTCACTGGGCAGTGGCTCCGGAAATCAGGGAGGATGAAAGGGAGCCACCAGTGACCACACTCCCTTCTCTGCTGCCCTTTGTTCAGTGAGAAGGACTGAGCCTTCTGCAGTCAAGTCTTAGAATTACAAATCTGGGTCCTTTATACCCACAGCAACTAGGGATGCCCCAAAGGACTAGCAAGGGCCCCAGGGACAGGTGACACCTGTTCTTGTGCAAGTTTGTTCTGAGCCTGAGGTGAAGGCTAGGTAAGAACAAAAAGGAAACAGATCAAACAACTGAAGGATGAGGAAACAGGAAAGACACCTTAGCTTGCCTTCTAGGCTAGCCTGGCTAGCCAGTGAGCCCATGGGATCCTCCCGTTCCACCCCCCAGTTCTTGGGTTGCACTTGCACACTGTACCTGGCTTGTAAGAGCTGGGTCCTGGGGACGTTAACTCAGGACCTTGCATTTCTGTGTCATGTACTTTACCCACTGAGCCATTCATCACCCCAGCCTGGATTGTGAGGTCTAAAGGGGGCAAAGCATGTAAGGGTCTTGGCATTAGGACCTGCCAGACAGCAAGCATTTGATAAAGGAATGACTTTTGGAGTACTATGTGATAGGGGATATCCTTCTGTATTCTGTGAATATATGTTTCTCTTATTGGTTGTTGAATAAAGCTGTTTCAGCCAATGGACAGGCAGGATGTAGCCAGGCAGGAAGTATAGATGGGGCTATCAGACTAGGAGAAGGCTGGGAAGAGGAGTTCAGAGAGTGAGTCTCAGGGGCATTCTCTGGTAAGCCAAGACCATGTGGAGATACATAGATCAATAGAAATGGGTTAATAATTAAGAGAGTGCTAGCTAATAAGAAGCTTGAGCCATCAGCCAAACAGTTTATAATTAATATAAGCCTTAGTGTGTTCATTTGGGACTAAACAGCTATAGAACTGGGTGGGACACAAACTTCCATCAACAACTATGCCCTTGGAATTCCTCCTTAATTTTGAAACCTTAAAGCTACTAGATTCACTCAGTCTTTTCTCTCAACCACTAAAATTTAGGATTGTCAGATAGAAATATTAGGTCTAAACAAGATTTGTATTAGTAAGAATTCTTCAGAAGCCTAGTGACCAGTTGAATCTAGATAGACTGACAGAGTGATCAAGCAACCATAGACAGATAAGTACAGTGATAGAGTGCATGATGAGTGAGTGAACCTTGCTGTGGGAATTGGTTTATACCATCATGGGAACTCTGAAGTCTAGTGATCAGCTGTCCAGGTGACCCAGGAAAGTTAGTGTTGTAATTAAGTCTAAGGCCTTAGGACCAGGAGTTCATGTGTAAACCCCACCACCAATATTTTCCCATAAGTTTGAAGGTAGGCATGAAGCAAAAAGGTAAATTCTGGCTTCTTCTGCCTCTTTTATTCAGCGTGGGATCAGATAATGTTTGCTGGCACTGGGAAGGCTCTGCTTTACCTGCATTGGTTCAAATGCTAATTTCATCCAAAACACACTCACAAACATACCCATATATGATGCTTAATCTAAGATTCCACCCTTAAGATAGAGTCTCTCTAGACTGACCCTGAGCTTATGGTCCACCTGCCTCAAGTGGGAGACAGGCATGCCCCACCATCACATGCAGGTTTTCTCAGAGTTCATGGGAGAAAAGTAGTTTCTCTCCTTCCTTTCTTCCTTCCTTCCTTCCTTCCTTTTTTCCTTCCTTCCTTCCTTTCTTTTGAAAAGTAGTTTCTTTGTGAAGAGAAATAACATAAAAATAAACATTTCCATTCTTGTAACCACTGGATCATTCTGGGCTCAGTATTCAGGATGATGAGACCCACTAGCCCTCTATGGAATGTGGGCCTAATGCAGGAGGCTAAATCAAACAGAATGACAGGACAAG